CCAGTCTCCTCTTGGCTTATATCGAAATCCTCTGACATTCTTCTTTACAAATCCTCGTTTTGTACTTCTAATTCTTGTCCGTTGTTTTGCTTTGATCTCTCCGCTGCATTTCCGAGTGCGTCACTTCTGAGCGGCTCATGCGCAGCGCTGACCTCCATACGTCATCCGCCCGGAACTGCTTCTGTTTACAACAGTGAGCGCAAGCTAGAATCAAGTGATTATTACGTTTTGAATATGGATATTTTTCTTAATTTTTGAAATGAATTAAAAAGTAAAGGAATCAGTTGGAAGTTGTATTTTCAAGCTTTGAAAGTTTTGCTAATAAAACGTATTCCTATAAAAATGTATTCCTTCAATTGTATTTACTTAAAAAGGTCTTTAAAAAGTCTTATATTTACCTTCATAAAACCTACAGAAACCCTGATAAAATGAACTGTACATAAAACGGATTCTCCTTTCACTCATTGGTTGAAAAATGCAAAAAGAAACAATAAATTAGATACATATAAGAATAATTTCAGGCTCTGTCTTGAAAGTATGTCAAAACTGCACCTTAACACGGTGTACACTGTATAGAGCCAGTGTTGACAGTTGTAGTTTTATTTTTTAATACCATGTTGATAGTTTGGAGTGCACACACACACATTAAACTTTTTGTAGGAGAGTCTGTGTGAAATAACTGTTTTTAAGCTTCTTCTTCCAGTGTAGTTTGGTATTATCTTTATTCATTTGGAATACAGTACAATGTCACAGGTGGATACATACATTTTGTGCACTCAGTAAACACACGTTCACAAGGTGAAATGAATGAATAAGGTTACATTGACCCTCCTCAGAGAGCGTAAGTCGCACTAATAAACATATGTATGGCACATTGATTATCCACATTCAAAAATAGTTAGTCAGACCTGATAGGAATATCATAGAAATGTCATCACTGTAAACAATATCCTTTATGATCTTTAAAAAAAACACAGCATAAGGCAAAGTAAGAAATGTCACAGGACAACATTCATCACGCTCCAGTATGGAAACAGGCCGAAGCACGGCCAAATACTTGTTTACATAAATGAACGTGAGCTGAATTTTTGTGCGTCTCTTTAGAAAAACACAGAAATGTGGCTCACATCTCGAAAAAAGCCTGTCAAATATTGCCATCTCTTTAACAAAAATAATGAAGCTCTACATGTATCGGTTCAGTCTTACAAACATAAACATCTTGATCATTTATGTAATACAAAAAAATCTGGCTATAATAAAAACGACTTCAATGCGAAATTACTAAAAATCTTGGATACTAAAGTGCTCTACAGATAATAAACTACTGGTCTGATTAATGAGAAAAGAGATCCATCCTCTTTTGTACAAACCAACATTCTCATTAAAATCCACAGTTATATGTACTTAGCATTTGTCAACCCACATTTCCTATTCGCTTTCATGTATTGCTTAAATATATACTCGATATTTCCTCCTCAGGAAAGATGACGCAAACAACAAACCTCATTAAAATGTATGCTTCTTCAGATACCCTTTTTCATGATGCCAAGTAGACATGAAATACTTATATATAATATATGCTTTAATATTTAATGTACATTACAATGAACCATATATTTTGAATGTTTCATTTAAGTTCCGAATAAAAATGGAACATAAGATTCATATACAGGTGTCCCCCAGTAACAAGCGTAATCTATCTTTTATGATAGTGAAGCTTTTAGTCACTGTCGGCATCCATCAAGGCAGCATCAAGAAGGCATTGGTTTGCATTTCATGTCTTGCGTCATTTGCCAGCATATTCAAGAAGAAGTAAATAAGTCTTTACCAGTGGCGGCTCGTCAGGGGAGGCAGGGGAGGCACAGCTTCCCCATAATTTTGAGGTGAAAACAGGAGGAGGACGATTTAATGTTAATAAAATTCACAATTAATTTCAGTTCATGTCTCAGAATGTGTATTTTTGGTTTGTACTGCACGGCAAAAATGGTCAGGTAACCTGAAAATTTGCTTCATGTGGTAACATCTTCAATTAACTGGTTTTATTCATTCCAAAATGTAGATTCTTTTTAAAATAAAATAAAAATGTAAACCTTAAATTGACTGGTTTTATTCATGTCAAAAATAGAATTTAATTTCATAATAAATGTAATTATTTTAAATCTTAAATTAACTTGTTTTATTCAGGGTAAAAAAAACCTGAATTTTAAACCTTACATTAACTGGTTTTAATAATGGTCAAAAATGCAATTGAATTGAATAATGCATTAAATAATTATATTTTATTCACATCAAAAATATAATTTAATTTAATAATAAATGTAATTATTTTAAACCTTAAATTATCTGGTTTTATTCAGGGTAAAAAACTAAATTTCAAACCTTATATTAACTGGTTTTAATAATGGTAAAAAATGCAATTGAATTGAATAATCCATGAAATAATTTTAAACCTTAAATTAACTCATTTTATTCATGGTCAAATATGTAGTTTAATAATTAAATTAAAATGTAAGCCTTAAAGTAACTGGTAACATGAATGAAGTAACTTAATTCATGGTCAAAAATGTACTTTAATTTAATAATTAATTAAATCTTAAACCTTAACATTAACTGTTTTCGTCATGGTCAGAAATTTAAAAATAACTGGTTTAAGGTCAAAGAAAAGTGATTTAATTACATTTTAAACCATTTTTATTTTGCATTTCATTCGTTACTAAAGATAAATCTACTAATTCTTATTATAATAGGTTATACCAACAAAAGCATTTTTAGAGCAAGTTAGAGAAAATAGAAATAGAGCAAGTAGAAATAGATCTTTAAGGAAAGTTACCACTTTTACAGCGTGATACACCTAAAACGAAGCCGTCAACACTGCTTTGCTTTTCTTGTATTTCTTTTTCTTTTTTTTTTTAATAAGCAGCTATTGTGAATAATTAATTCTGTTGGATCTGATTTACCAAGCACAAATAAAACTCTGGGGCAGACGGGGTTACCAGCCAATCCGGTAATGATATAATGAGGATTTCCTTATCAGGTATTTCTATTCTTGGATGAGTTTTGAATAACAGCTATTCTCTGGTCAAAGATAATTTGCTATTTCAAGCGATAATATTTTGCTCGCGGCTCAGGAACATTATTAGCTTTCCCCGTTTCTATTAATGAATAAGGAATTGTGCCTGTATAATGGGGGAAACCTGTACATTGTTATCCTGTGACTCCTCTTTGACTGTCACTCGGACTGACTAGTGCCCGTGTGTGTGTGTGCTGAGATGGGTGTTTCCATCCATTGCATATTTCATTTATACCTGGACATCCAAACATAAGAGTTTTATGGTGCTGTAACTAACAGCTAAATCAATTCAGGCCCTGGGCAGAGTTGAAAACTAATGTTTGGACATATGAACAATATATTTTGAAACATCAGTGAAACAGTGATATACCACAGTGTTTGCTCTCAGGTTATATTAATACACATAGTCCTTACAATGAATAGAAACATCATGACCATCCATTTAGGTTTGGCGATAAGCTTAAATGGACATTGATTTGGTTCGAAAACAACTATTAAATAATTTCCTGATATGTCAGAAAACAAATACTCTTTTTATAATGTGTCTTAACGTATTCATTTGGTATCGTTTCATGCCAGTCGTGTCATTTCAATTAAAAAGCTCCTAATTATCAACTCTACGTGATAACTACAGTGCAAATGTTCGCAAAATGTAACAGTTACATCTGCACCGACGAGCGTTGTTGATCGTTCAAACACTCTAAAAAATGCTGGGTTAAATACAAACCAGTGCTGTGTAAATTCCCCGTTTCTATTAATGAATAAGGAATTGTGCCTGTATAATGGGGGAAACCTGTACATTGTTGTCCTGTGACTCCTCTTTGACTGTCACTCGATCGTAGTGCTTGTGTGTTTCCATCCGTTGCATATTTCATTTATACCTGGACATCCAAATATAAGAGTTTCATGGTGCTGTAACTTACAGCTAAATCAATTCAGGCCCTGGGCAGAGTTGAAAACTAATGTTATACCCTGGAAAATGCCCTTCAACAGAATGACACACTTACAGCTTATACATATTCAAACCCTGACATACATATTTGAAACATTATTCACACCTTGGACACTCCATTTTGCTATCATCATGTCAACCTGCACATAAACTACTATATTTCCCAGGAAAACACTGAACGATGTCACAAATGGCACATTCATACACTCTAAAAAATGCTGGGTTAAATATAACCCAGCGCTAGTGAACAGTTAGCCTGAAAATGCATAGTGTATTTCAGGTGAAAAGAAAATCATTTTGATCCACGTACGGTAAAACACTTAAAGAAATAGTTCACCCAAAAACTAAATTTGCTTGTTTCTTCATCGGAACAGATTTGGAGAAATGTAGCATTACATCACTTGCTCATCAGTGGATCATCTGCAGTGAATGCGTGCCGTCAGACAGCTGATAAAAAACATCCCAATAATCCACAAAAATCCACACGACTCCAGTCCATCCATTAATGTCTTGTGAAGTGAAGTGCTGCATGTTTGTAAGAAACAAACCCATAATTAAGGCCTTTTAACTTGAAAACTGTCATTTCAGGCCAAAATATGAGTTCATAATCCATAATAGTGCTTTATTCAGGGAACGAATCCATCCCCTGTTGTCCTCTCACATCAAAATCAACTGACACTTATGACTTATCACTCATTCACTTATGAGCGGTGCTTGATCTGTGCATGCTTCTCTCCTGATTCAGTTGAAACAACTTAAGAGAAAATAATATTATGGATTATGGACTTGTATTTCAGCCAGAAGCAATGGCTTTCGCTTCACAAGATGTTAATTGATGGACTGGAGTGGTGTGGATTACTTGTGGATTATTGTGACGTTTTTTTATCAGCTTTTTGGACTCTCATTCTGACGGCACCCATTCACTGCAGTAGATCCATTGGTGAGCAAGTGATGTAATGCTAAATTAACTCATCTACATGGCCTGAAGGTGATCAAATTTGCATTTTTGGGTGATCTATTCCTTTAATACTCTACAGGTATGTCACTAGTGGTATAGTATCGCTTTTGGGTTGTTTCATGCCCCCTTTGGCCATATGGAGTACTACTACAATCATCTCAGGCATGTGCAACAGGTAAAAACCAACAATAGTTACTCGACAAACACAAGACTAACATTGCATGACATGAGCATGCCCTAAACAGCCCTTATTATCATGCAAAGGGATCAGTATAATGGATGTAAAAGATGTCAGAAATGGCCTCTGCTGCATATCCAACTCTTCGTACGTTTAAAACGGGTCTTTTTTCGAAAATTTGTTTTGGGGTCTAGTATATAGATGAATGGATGCACAGCTGAGCTCTACTGGTACATCCAGGCTATTGTAAATCCATGCATCGTCATGCATCGAAGAGTAGGATCCTCGGTTGGAGATGTCCATGCAGCTAAACTCACCCAAAACATACTGAAGAGGGAGAGAGAGCGGTTGAATGGGGAAATGTTTAAAGTCCTTTACAGCATGAACTTCTTCTTTTTCTCTTTCCGTGTACTTTTATCAGACCTTTTTGGGTAAGACACAGTATGTGTGCATTTATATATCTGAGTGCATCAAGTTTGCTGTCAAATATGAATAATTCTCTCCAGTGGAAGCTGTAGCTCGTCTCAAAAATATTTCAGTCACAACATTTGGATTTCATGTAAATAAAATGAACTTTTCAGCTGCTCCAGTTTGTGTGTGCATGTTTGTTTTTTTTAGCCATTTTTATCACTGTTATATGTTGAATTGGATCTACGTTGTGATTGGTCCATTCAGTTACTTCATGCCACTGCGAAGCACCTGATTGGCTGCGATAAGCATGACACTGATGATGAAAGCGATCGCGAAGGCGCAGATCAGACTCTTCCGTACGCATGTTTGCTTCACCTGCTGGGTTGGACTTTCCGCTAAAGAAGCAGAGAGAAATATATGAGAAGATCAGGAGAAATATGGACGTAAGACAAGTTTTGGAGGTGATTCATTGAAATGAAATGAAAAATGTGGAACATTGTGACAAGATAGTATACATCAATGGATGCTTTGCAAAAAAAAGGTTTATAAATATGTAGGACTGCAAGAAACCATGAAAATGTACTGAAAAGTAATGTTTGTCTTTTTCTGTGTTGATTAATCAACTGTGAGTTTGTCAAGTCTTTTGTGCATTTCACCTACTGTAAGAAGAAGTGCTATTTGTATGATGTCACAAACTATCGTTCAAAAGTTTGGGTTTGTATGATTTTTTAAAATGTTTTTGAAAGAATTATCTTATGCTCACTAAAGCTACTGTACATTTATTTGATCAAAATAGATAAAACTGCAATATTGTGAAATTGCATTACAATTTAAAATAACTGTTTTCTATTTTACTATATTGTAAAATGTAATTTATTCCTGTGATGCAAAGTTGAATTTTCAGCATCATTACGGAAGTCTTCAGTGTCACATGATCCTTCAGAAAATGAAATCATTATCAATATGCCGATTTGCTGCTCAAGAAAATTTCTTGTTATTATCAATCTTGAAATCATCTGTTCTGCTTAACATTTTGTGGAAACTACTTTTTTCTTTGATAAATAGAAAGTTCAAAAAACAGCATTTATTTGATATAGAAATATTTAATAACATTGTCTTTGCTGTCACTTTTGGTTAATTTATTGTATCTTTGCTGAATAAAAATTGTAATTTATTTAAGGAAAAATCATACTAACTCCAAGCATTTGAACAGTACTGTATGTAGATCAAGATATTAAGATTTTGGGGGGTCTTCATCCACCAAAATCCTAATTTAGCACCTCTGTACACCTTACAAAATTAAACCTGATGATGAAATGCTTATTTTTACAGGGCAGTAATAATAATTAAACTCGTATTTCATCCAGAGTTGTGCATTAAGAAAGAAAAAACATTCTTACTGTCAATGTCAACCTGGCAGTCCTCAGGATTTTCGATGTGATTCTCCTCTGTCATGATGATATTCTCGATGTCCTTCATAGTCAGGTGGTCACAGAAGGTGTCATATAAGAGTCTCTTCAGCTCTTCCACAGTCAGCTTCTGCATATCACACTAAAAACAGAGACCAAATTGTATTATTAGGGGCCATGCACCGAAGGTGCAAAGGCACCTATTGTATCCGTTGGCGTACTTATTATTCTTTTTCTTCCGTTTATTCTAGGGCTGCACGATAAATCGCATGCGATATTTAATGCGCATCTTGTCAGAAAGCCGGTTCTGTAATCAGTGGTAAATCTCCATCTTCCGCTCTAGAGTCGATGGTAGCCCATAGAACCGCTTGGGGGAAAGTTGTGAAATTTGGCACACTGATAGAGGACAGTCCCAACATTACCCATAGCAAGTTTGGAGTCTCTAACTCAAACTCTCTAGCGCCACCACTTGTCCAAATTTTCACTCATGTTTATGATAATAACATTTGAACCGTAAGGCACAGAAGGAAAGTTATTGTTTTCCTCTGAATCCTTGGCTCATGCCGAGTCGAATGAACTCCAAAATTTAAAAATAGTAAGATTTAGTTTTTTCGCTATTTTTAATAGTTCGAAAAAACTATTAGACAAATAGTTGTAAAAACCTACTTTTTCGAACTCGTCCTAGACGGTTTGTCTGATTTGTCTTGGCTCAGATCATCTTCAGTCCATGCTGGCAAAAAGTTATGGAATTCAAGTTGATTAGTCAAACCATTCTCGAATAATGCGTGAATGAATGGATGTGAGGCTATATCTCCGCAATGGTTTGACATATTAAGACCAAACTTGGTCTGTGTTGTAACAAGCATGACTTGCGGCTACCTGCAGTGTTTTGGCGCTGTGCTACCTAGTGGGCAGGAGATATGAAAAATGGCTATTTTTGCTTATAACTTGTGAATGGTTTGGCCAAAAATCACAAAACTGGTCTCTTTAGATTCAGTGCATGATGCCGAGTTGTACCGTACCCAATTTTCCCATGTCAGCCATTTTGGGCGTCTGCCATTTTGAATTTTGTCAAAAAATGCAATATTTTACGAACGCATTGTTGTATCGTTACGAAACTCAGGATGTGTCTTCGGCACCATGCCCTGACAGTACTCAGAAAGTTTGGGGGCAGCGCCACCTTGTGGCCAAAAGTTATAATGAAATTTACAAAAATGCTAATAACGCTTGAATAAATTGGGCTATTGTAATAAAACTGGTCTCAATATATTATTTGGGTCATGCCGAGAAGATCGATGCCAATTATGCCAAAATCGGCCGAACTTCCTGTCTACCATTTTGATTCAGGTTGAAAACCTACTTTTTCGAACTCCTCCTCGATCGTTGGTCCAATTTTCACCAAATGTGACTCGGATCATCTTGAGACCATGCTGGCAAAAAGTTATGGATTTCGTGTCGATATACAAATTGGTTTCCGTTTAATGCATCAACAAATTTGCTGGAAAGATGCCAAACTGCATCTGAGGCTGTATCTCTGCAAAGCTTTGACATATTTACACCAAACATTGTATGTGCCATTGTCGCCTCACACTGACCATGCCACATCAGTTTGGTAACAGCGCCACCTATTGGTCAAAAATGTTAAACCAATCATTAACCATTAATAATGAAATTTACAAAAATCCTTATAACTTTTCATTACATTAGCCTATTGTAATCAAACTGGTCTCAAAACATTCCTTGGTACATGCTGACAACACAGATACCAATCTTACCATAGTCAGCTGAACTTCCTGTCCGCTATTTTGATTTATGTTGAAAACCTACTTTTTTTAACTCCTCCAAGACCGTTCGTCCAATTTTCACCAAATTTGACTCAGATAATTTTCAGACCATGCTGGCACAAAGTTATGGATTTTGTGTCGATAGACAAAACCATTTTTGTATAGCGCCGCTACAAATTTGAGGCATGATGACAAACTGACTCTGAGGCTGTATCTCTGCAAAGCTTTGACATACTGACACCAAACTTTGTGTGTGCCATTGTCACCTCACACAGAAAACACCACATCTATTTGATAACAGTGCCACCTGTTGGTCAAAAGTGATAAGCCATTAAATCATATTACTAGTAGTTTTATATGATTTTTCAGCCATTTGGACTACAATCATCTTAAATTAATTGGATTATTAAAAGTGGACTGAAGGGCAGACGGGAAGTTATCTTTTCAGAAAGTTGTTTTGTTTTGCATACATTTTGATTAGAAAGACCATTTTCTTTTTGTATTTTGTATTTTTTTTATTTTGAAACAACATGTACTGATCAATGTCTGACCAGGAATGTTTTGTAAAAAAGTAGATGGGGTTGATTTAGATTTCAGTGCACATTTATTCATAGCTCTGAACCCATAATTACACAGAGAGAAGTTTAAGAGAGGGAGACCCCCGTAGCTATTTGGGGTCAAACGTGCTGCTAAAAAATGCACCAGCAGCGAGCTGTGATTAGAGAAACAAACCCTTTGGGGGAATCACCATATGGCCCATACAAATGATATTCTGCTTGTCTCACTTGGAGAATGCAGCGAATGAGACTTATGACATTTATTAATAATTCTTGCTTAAAGTCATCATGTCACATAGAATATATCTGCATTTAAATGTATTCAGATATGTAAATTTGGCTCATGTTTAATAGATAGGAGGCCCTTTATAAGAATCAATTCCCATAAGGTGATTCATGTCTGTTTGTTGGATTTCATAGATAGCATTGAAAGTGTATCTAATCTGGTTTCTGTGTGACAGGGACAGACAGAAGCAGCATACTTTGTGCCTGTTGTCACTTGGAATAAGAGAGAAGTGGCTAATAATCACCTTCCAGAACACAGAGTCAAAATTGGTTCCGTTGAACTTGTCAGGCATCCCGGCAGCCGAGAGTTTGGGCCCCAGGAGAGTAACAAATTCTTCAAAATCCACCTGGCCATCACCTAAAAAACAGACCGTGAAGTATTAGATGCATTCTAGCACCACATCAAGTTCCAGCGAGTTGGCTCTGGAATATGAAACGGGTATAGAAATGGACAGAAATCTGATATTTTCTGTCAGAGTTGTGTGCTATTAACAACTGAATAGAGAAAGCAATCTGAATTGAATTTGCAGTGAGGTGTCAACGTGATGTAGAATTGTAATTTAAATTTAATAAAGAATCAAAATGGGATGAAAAAAATCATATTGCTGTAAAGTCTTTTAATAATACATTCATTTTTTAACTATGAATGACCCATGAAAATGAAATCAAAAACTATCAAATAGAGTTTGTGAAAAGCTAATAATTAAATTAAAAAAAAATAATAAAACACCTACTAATTCATGGTTAAATGTTTTATTTGTTTATCTGATTTTCATATGACTTATCCAACATCAGAGAACATTACTGAAATACTAACTTAACATTTCAGGGTGTAAAAAATAAGTAATTATTTTAGGTAAAACTTATTTGACTGAGAAAAAAGTTTGGGAATCCTGGAAATAGAGTATTTCGAGAAATATGAGATAATATCAATAATCAATAACACCAACAGAATTTTTTTTTTTTTTTATATTAATCATTTGATTTATTTTTTTAACAAATTGACTTTCATTTTGTGATTCTGTCAATATTAAAATGCTACTGCTGTTGATAGTAATGAGTTTGGAGATGTATGTCTGATCAGTTAAAAAAAGAATTTCACATATGTGGGAATAAATAGTTGAAATCAAGCAAAATAAATGCTTAATAATGATTTAATAACAATAATATAATTTATAACTAATTATTATACTATTAATTGATGACAATGATTATTAGTTGGTTAGACTAATACAACTGTTCTGTTTTATTCTGATTTTCTGAATTGCAATTCACAAATATTCAACAGTCTCTGCTTAATTCTTACATTTTGCTAAATTCCTACATTTTGCCTGAGTTTGCAGGTCATGGAATGGTTTGCTAATTAGTCCATTGTTGGATTAGTTTGATTAATCTCTCTCTCTCTCTCTCTCTCTCTCTTTGCTAGCTTCAATATTTTTAGTGTCAGATTGAGTGTGACTTCATGGAGTGGGTTTTGTCGAACTGAAAGACCTTTTCAGAGACGTTCTTTAAAGCACCGCTGCTACAGCCATCAAAGCACCGCTTTCGCCTTCAATTAATTTCAAGACAATTACTGTCAAACTTCAAAACGCCTACTGTGAACAGTGTTCTCATTATTAGCCCATGCATAATCCTTATGTCTCCATGCATTGTGAGGAATATGATAGAGTTTGGAGCAATAAAAGGTTACAGTTATTTAGCTTTTTATTTGTTGAATATCTGTCAGTTGCAGTTGGCATCCCTACAGTGCAGAGAAATGCATATGATGGGTGTCTGGTGGGCTTCCTTAAAGGGATACTTCACCCTAAAACTGAAACTTGAAAACATTTGCTCACCCTTATGTTGTCTCAAACTTCTATAACTTTCTATCTATGCAGAACACAAAAGACAATATTTTGAAATAAATCAATTGAGACATCGTTTCTTTTCTACTCCACAGAAGAAAGAAAATCAAACAAGTCTGAACAACACAAACAATTTAGCACATATTCACTGAATATTGACATAAATGGATGGATGGATGAACTATCTCTTTAAGTTGCCTGGTGCACTGCAAAAAAAAATATAATAATTTTAATGGTAAAAGACTGATATGCTAAAAACCTGTAACTGGTTACCACTGAGTTTTTCTGTTTTACACATTAAAAAAGTAATTTTATGTGAAATTCTGTTAAAATTACAGTTTTTGGAAGTTAAAAAGAACAAGTCATCTTACAATTTACAGTGAACATTTTAAATTGTCATTGCCAGAAGTCCCTGTGCGACACGTTTTATGTTTTTTTTAACAGTTTCTTCTTATTTTTTTTTATATCAGTTATACATTAGGGTTACACGTTACATTTTATGTTGTTAAATTGTTAACATGATGATGTTTTGTATTTGTTTTTATATGACACTGTTCACCTTCTATATGAGTCAAAATCTGCTAAGGGGTGATAAAGGAACAACAGATTTAAAAAAAAATAAAAATTAACTGTTATTTACAACATGATCTGCATTTTCATTGGTTTAAATAAGAGACAAAAAAACACATTTATGAATCAAAACCACATAAATTTGTTCTTCACTCAGTGAAATTGACAAGTGATTTTTATCAAATGAACAGTTCATTTGCAAAACTGATATTGCGCATTCCAAGTAATATCAATCATACTGCAGTTGGGTTGCTTTGATTAAGTAATAATAACTTAAACAAATACAGGTAATTTACAAAATTAAAGTTCATTTAAAGTATGTTTTTTTTTTACATATTAAAAGTTTGTTTTATAGCAAAAGCAGATAACTCCAACAGTCGTTTTTTGGCAAAAGCAGATAACTCCACATTTCATGGTTTAGAGTTTAAAAAAACACTCGTTTAATCTTTGTAATCTCCTCAGATGACAATGTAGATGCCTGACAAACGTTGTTGTTATTGTGATCAAAAACTGTATGGATGTGATTACACGCAATACACGGAGCTTTCCCCTCACCATTGAAACACGCCTTGCTTTTGCAAGGTTCCGTGAAAACGTTTCAGCTTTTATTTTCCTTTTTCGCCCTGAAGAAGATACCACAGGTTCATCAAGTTCGTCGAAATTATCCATCCTCGATCACTTTTAGTCAGCTCTGACAAAACTCCTCTCAGCTAGCACGTCTTTTTGAAAGTGAAAGTAGCCTTTTCAACTGACCTGAATACAGCACGCTGATTCGCTAAAATGGACTTATCGGCTTCTGTTCAAAAACAACAAGGGCGCTTGTTGGCTTCTGCAGTAAAATGTGAACTCGCAATGCCTTGAAAGTGGACAAAACCGGCTTTTTTGACAAAACGTGTTTAGGGTTCAGATCGCGCTATATGTGGAGAATAATGCAATGCAATCAGCTCATTTTTTTTTTTAAAGTGGCGTTTATCGGTTTTTGCAAATGAGCTCTTCAAATGTAGATCACTACCATCTCAGTTTAAAAGAATTATGAAAGTTTGAAGATATAAATTTTTACATGATTTGTTACATTTAATTACCCCTTTGCAGATTTTGACATATTAGTATTTACTTCAGCTTAAAAAAACTATGTGTGGTGTGGCTTTTTTTTTATTAACACCTGTGTATTTGTGATGGTTGTCCATATATTATAAAGGTACAAAACAGATTTTAGTACTTCAGTAGGCTGGTATATTAACATTATATCAGTTAATGAAATATACATTTTTTACTCTTATTTTAAGTTAATTCCATAAAACGTTCTGGTGACCACAGCTGTTGGGTTTTTTACCATAAATGTCACATATTTTTTCAGAACATCAGCTGATATCCCATGCTGAGAGCAACAATCTATTCTTGTTTTTTCAGCACGGCACTCCATTCACAGTCTTGTGTATGTGTCTCCTCACCATCCATGTCGAGTCTTTGAATGATGACCTCCAGCTCGACCTCATTGGGCATGTACCCTAGAGAACGCATGGCCATGCCGAGCTCCTGCTTTGAGATGAAACCATTCCCATCTCGATCAAACACCTTAAACGCCTCCCGGATTTCTGAGGAAGAGAGCAACACACCGATCTGTTAGACGCCGCTTTATACATCCAATATTAAAACTATTACTCTGCAACATTGTTATACGAGACAGATATTAAAATCATCACCCCTAAGTGACTCAAAGAAAAGGGATGATTGCAGTATATTGATTTTTCGCACAAAAATTCACTTTCAACTTCAGCAAAGTGCAGTCCTTTTTAAAAGACGTCAAAATGCCGTAATACATACGGTTGGTTAAGCCTACTTGTTTCACCGTATATGCATTATACATCATCATTAAGTCATTTGCAATTTTCCACTTGTCACGCCATGATGCCATATTCAGAATTATGAAATATGAGCCACTCTGGCTGCAAGATATTACTATAAATCCAGATAATATATTCAATACGGAGTGTGAACAGGAGTATTCGCTACTATGCTTTGCTCACTGTGCTTTAGGTTTGATAAATGGCACGTGGGGTCCAAACAAAAACAGCACATTAAATCTATCGCTCCCCTGAGTGAAGGAAATTAGGGAGGAAATATGAGAAAAATACAAGAAATGACGGTACTGCGGTCCAAATAAGTCAACAGCAACAGATGGTGAAAGCAATTTTACTCTGCATTACGGTGGAAGTAAGCAGATTTAAAACGGAAGTGAAGTGTGGGCTCTAATTTGCTAATTTCAAAGCAAAACAATTTAGCTGCAAGCAACACATTTGGAGGCCGGAAAAAAAGAAACGTTTTAAAGAAAAATAAGATGGTTCTAGGAGGCCCTATCAACCAGATGAGAGCAAACTCAAACAGAATATTCATAGTCATTAGCATTTGATTTGAATGATTATTAACAAGCTCATTACTCAAGAAGCTCAACAAGTAGATCAGAAGTGTACAAAACGCATTAACAACTAGAGACAGGAATTAAGAATTTAACCATTTTGGTTCCAATAATTAGTACTTTTTAAGAAAAACAATACAATTTAATTGCCAAAATTATTGTGAGATCATTTCAATAATAATAAATGATTTGTTTAAACAAATATTTAATAATTTATTACATCATAGAATATTTTTTCAGATAAAAAAAAACCAATGACTATCATAGATTTTTACCATGATTTATGGAAAACAATGCATTAAAATGTCATTCAGTGTTAACAATAGTTCGTATACCAAAAAAATATTGTCAGGCATATTTAGAATTAAAATCAACAGATGACATTAAAAGACTCTCCAATCTTTGCCACTATCCTTCAAACCACTACGTTTTACCCATTTTTTTTTTCAGCAATACATTTATTTAAAACATAATAAAATCTGGTATGATCACTTTATTCTTTTATATATTTTAGTAAGTATGGGACAGAATGAGTATATTTCATTTTTTCGTAAATATATCTGTTAAGCTTAATGACGATGGAACATTACTTCACCCATATTTTGGCATTTTATTTTCACAAAAGTTATTTGAAACATTAACGTAGACACTTTAACACCAAAATGAGACATTCTGTCTTTGACCCAACTGCACTGCGTTTGATTAACTAAAAAGAACCAGTTGATAAGAGTTGTTCATTCACACCACATTCATTATTTGTTGTTTTTTCTTCGATTTACTTAAAATAACAGACTTGTGATGTTAGAAGTGAGGCTTTTTGAAATGAACTGAACCACTTACTGTACTTTGTTTCAGCTACTGAGGACATCCAATGGTTAAATCTGCATAAAAGCAATAAGGCACCGCAAAATCTGACATGACATATTCTACAAAGAACAACTGCAAGTGTTTTCTTCTGTCATCTACTAAGTGTAAACTATAATATCATTAAAATCCTAAATAAATTATTTACTGTATATCATATAGAATATAATAGGATGTCCCCAGCATCAAACCAGTGACATTTCTGTCAGTCAGCTCCATGTAGTATTTAAAGTAAAAAGTACTTTTGTGCATTCATTTAACTTTTTATTAATAATATTTTAAATGCATTAATGTAAGGCACTGAAAACACATAGCGGTAAATTTTAGCAAATTCATATTTATTGTGATTCTTTTAATAGACTGAGAGCCATACCGGTGAATAACTGAACTGTGACAAATTAAAAAAAAATTATAATAATAAAATACTAAAGAATTCATTTCAATGGTAATGGTTAAAAGTTAATAAATATTGAGCAGTAAGTGTATTAAAACACTGTAAAATACAATTGATAGAAATTGAGCAGTAAGTGTATTAAAACACTGTAAAATACAATTGATAGAAATTGAGCAGTAAGTGTATTAAAACACTGTAAAATACAATTGATAGAAATTGAGCAGTAAGTGTATTAAAACACTGTAAAATACAATTGATAGAAATTACAAGCTTGAATAATGTGGCTGTTTGAGCACAGCACAAAAATTATAATTATTATTGAGAACACAAAAAATAAAGCTTGAAGTCTTCAATCTGATAAATAATAATGTCTAATAGTTACTTAGTACAGAAACAGGCCTCTTGTCTCAATATATTCTGATTGACAGGCAGGTAATTACTGCTATAGGTGATCATTTGAGACGTTTTAAGGGGCCTCCATCATAGAGTGACTCAACCCACATGTGATTGCAAATATACACGACAAACAGAAAACTGTCATTCACATGGCCTACCTGATTTGTAGAAAAGTGTATCAGCATTCGTTTTGTCCAACTGATTTGCTTTAACCTTTAGCCTTCAATTTAATTGGAGAAATGAGAGGAGTATCCTTGGAATGTCATTGGGTAAAGAATACATGACACTGTGTAGGAGTTGTTTGGAATAGAGAATCAGGCCTCTGTCACAAACTCAGTTTATAAAAACACCATAACGATGTGTGAAATGTGGGGAAATTTGGGAAACTACCGAGGCTCTATAGTGGACTCAACCATGTTCATTCTGCAACAAAGCTTTTGGGAAACCCACCTCTTCCTGTTGCTAGGCAACTGCACAACTGTTCCAACCCACTATTGCAAGGGTTGTGATTAGACCACAGCACTTCCAGCATGATAGCGCACGCTTGTCGCAGCATATCAAAAAGTTGTACCCGCTCATAAAAATAGCACTTTCTACAAAAATAATAATGATATCTATGAAAGTCAAGCATGCATCTAAATATGATCCAGTGTGGCATGTGTTTTCAACAATGCAATTTAAAAAATACAGCTTTTCAGAATATTTAAAGGAATAGTTCACCCAAAAATGTAAAATTGCCGAAAATGTACTCACCCTCAGGCCATGCAGTATGGAGATGAGGTTTTTTTTTTTCATCAGAAAAGATTTGAAGAAATTTAGCATTACATCATTTGCTCAACAGTGGAGCCTCTGCAGTGAACGGGTGCCGTCAGAATAAGAGTCCAAACAGCTGATAAAAACATCACAATAATCCACAAGTAATCCACACCACTCCAGTCCATCAGTTAACGTCTGGTGAAGCAAAAAGCTATGTGTTTGTAATAAACAAATATATTATTAAGGTGTCACTTCTGGCCAAAATAGAAGTCCATATGCTTCCTCCAGTGATAAAGTCTAGCCCATGTTGCCCTCACACATATTTGTTTTGAAATGTTTTGGACTGTTTTCATTTGTAAACGATGCTTGATCTGTGCATATTTCTCTTCTTATTCAGACGACTTTTTCACTGGAGAAAGCAATATTATGGATTATGGACTCCAATTATTTTAGTCAGAAGAATTAATTTTAAACGGGTCATATGATGCTGCTAAAAAGAACATTATTTTGTGTATTTGGTGTAATGAAATTAAATATGTCTAAATAATGGACTTGTTTATTACAAGCATGCAGCTTTTCACTTTACAAGATGTTTATTGATTTAAGACATGTGGTACTTGTGGATTTATTGTGATGTTTTTATCAGTTCAAGTTCAAGTTGAGCTTTATTGTCATTCTGCTGCATGTGGGGACATACAGTGGAACGAAATGTCGTGC